GCGGGATCTCTGTGGGGAGGCAGCTCCGGTCAGCCCCGGCAGCCCCGCTGCCCCCCGAGACCGGCCTGGCCCCTCTCGCCACCCCCGGGGCCGCTGCCGCTCGGGGTGGCCCGGGAAACAGCCCGAAAAACCCCAGTATTCGTTCAAATTCGTTTTTTGCAGCGCCGTGAGAGCGTTTGCCCGCACGGAGGGGATCAGTGAACCCCCGGGCTGAGCACACCCGGGAGCATCCGCGAAAACATGAAGGGAAGTGATGGAAACGGAATTAACCCCCCGACCGTTCCGCCAGCAAAGCTGCAATTATTCCAAGTTCTTTTCCCTTTTCCTACACTTCCAAAATTCACCTTCAAATAACGGCGGGGTAGCCCGGGTGGAGTGAGGGAAGAAACTACCAAAAATTGCGAGAATTGCACTGAAAATGAAACCGCGGCAGGCTTGTCCCTTCACCCTGCAGATACCGACAGGGATGATACAGAAAGAGATAAAGATACAGATATGGAGAAATAGAGATATAAAAATAAACAGATACAGCAGATAGAGAACGAAATGTACAGATACATAGACACAAATACATAGATTTCGTTATAGATGTCTGGATAGAGATATGTAGGTAAAAATACGAACATAGGATACATAAATACAGATATATCGGTATAGATAGAGATGGAGAGATATAGACACGGCGGTAGAAATACAGATAGATGAGGACACGAGAGCATCTATATGTAAAGACAACTGTCTGTGGAGACACAGAGCTGCCTCGGAGTGCGTAGGGGTGGAGGTGGAGGTGATCTCGTTCTCCTCAACAATTCACCGCGTCCAAAAGAACAACCCCAACAGGGGCAGCGGCTCCGGACAGGACTGAGCTCCGGCAGCGGTAACACGGCACAGCCCCGCGGGGTCCCGGCTCAGCCCGGCTCGACCCGCGGCTCTTACGCTGCATCGCGATCCGCGGGCCAGCTCCGCTCGCTCAGCGGGGCCTCGGGCTCTGCAGCATCTTCCGCCGCCCCCCGCCCCGTCGCTGCCGAGGCCGGGCCGGGCACGGACCCGCCGTGCTCCCCCGCCGATCCTCCCCCCCACCCCAAATCACGGCGGCAGTTGTGTCCCCCCTCCCCGGCCGCTGCCACCCCCGCGCCGCCGGGGATTTAATTCGCTAAAGCGGGTTATTTTTAGCCGGCGGCCCTGCCCGCCGGTGCCGCTCTGAAGCGCCGGGCAGGGCATCGCGCCGCGCTGTATTTAATCCCCCCCCGCCCCCGGCGGCACATCCCCACATCCCCTCCCGCCGCCCCTTCCCGGCCGAGCGCGGCGGGAGGGACGCGGCTCCGGGAAACGATCCCGACGGGGCCGGCGGCGGGCGGGGGTCGTACCGGGGGGAGGCAGCGCCAGGCGCTGCGCCGGGTTCGTTGTGAGCCGCAAACCTGGGATTTGACCCCAGCTCGAGCAAACACAGCACGGCTCGGCCCCCCCGGCGGGGCGAACCCCCCCGTGCCCCGTCCTGCCGCCGCGCTGCCCCGGGCATCCCCACGGTAAGCCCCGCCGAGCACCCTCGCTCCCCTCCCGCTGCCTCCCCGACGGAGCCGGAGACCACGGGGCCAAAAACGAGCATCGCGTTCAGCGGGAAAACGGTTCTGTTCGCGTCGCTCGTTCTAGCGGAGGTACCGATTTCGGCGGTGTCGCCTCCGCCCCCGCAGGGCAAAAGCAGCTCCCGGTTGCCGGGTCAAACGCGCAAATGCCGCGCCGCGGGGAGAGCCACGGAAAGACGAGCCGGGGCAGGACCGGGGGCACCAGCCCCACCATGGGGGCTGCAGGGGCGCGGCGTCCGTCCCGCGGCCGGTGACAACTCGGTCCCCGCACACCGGCGGAGCCCCCGCGCCGGCTCCTCGTTGTTTGGTTTTTAAGCCCCCGCCGGCCGCAGTCGCTGTTGGAGAGAACCGGGACGGCCCCGCACCGGGACCGGCCCCGCTGCCCCAGCCCCGGCTGTGCCACAGCCGGTGAGACGCGGAGTCCCGAGCACGGCGGGGAAGCGCCGTGTGGTTCCTCCCGCCCCGACAGGGCTGTCCCCGTTCGTTAAACGGGAGGAAAGAACATCTAAGAGAAGAATTAACGGGAGTTTTTCCAAAGTGAGGAAATATCCGTGTGGGAGCAGGACGGGGGGCGCGGGGGGTCCCCGCAGTCGGGGGGAACCATCGGGCACCAAAAACTCCCCGTTTCGTCCCTGCCCTCGTTGTGGGGGAGCGGTGGGACCCCGGAGCAGCTCCAGGATCCCGAGGCAGCCCCGCCGTTACCCCGAGGGCGGCGGGGGAACCAAACGGGCGTCTGGAGCGGCCGAGGGGGCAGCGAGGGGGTCTCCTCTATCGGGGAAGAGCAGGAGAGAGCGAGCGGGAGCGCGGGGCGCTCGGGACGGACCGGGATGAACTCCCCGCTGCCGTCGGGCCGCCCGCCTTGCCCCGCAGCCAACCCCGACCGCGGCCCTGACGGTGCCCCGGGGAAGCGGCACAGACGGGACTCCCAGCGGTGCCTCCGCGGGGGGACGCGGAGGTTTGCGCGCCCCCGCCTCACCTGGGCTCCGCGGGAAGGGGCAGAGCTCCGCTGCCTTCTCCGAGCCGGCGCGGACCCGCTCCAGCAGCATCGCGGCCTCCGTGGGCGCCGTCCGAGGAGCGCGGCGGCGGTGCGGGAGTGGCGGAGCGGCGCGGAGGGGCGCGCAGGGAGCGGCGCGGGGCTGGGCGGGGCGGGGGGTGTGGGGGGCGGGCCGGGGGCGGCTCCGGGGCCGCAGCTGGGCCGCGGTTCAGCGCCGGGCTCTTTAGCATCACAAAAGCGGCGGGGGGAGCGCTGTCTCCCCCCTCCCCGGCCCACGCATGGCCGGGGCTGCTGTTCCCGACGCGTGGGCTCGGGCTGCAGGAGCCGCCCGCGGGGGCGAAGCGGCCCCCGGGACCCCCCTGAGCCCCCCGGAGCCCGCATGGAGCGGGGCGGGGGAGCCTCCGTCTGGGGGAGTCTCCTCCTGGGTCCCGCCGCGCCCCGGCCGCCCCCACGCCCGGATTTCGTTTGTCCCCGCAGCGCGGTCTGCGGGTCTCCTCCAACGCCGCCCGTGGGGAGCTGGGGGGGCTCTTCTCCCTCCGCTAATTAATTAATGAGTGCGGAGATGTAGCGGGTGTCCGACCCCCGGGCAGCGGCGCGCGGCGGCTGCAGGAGGTTAATTGCGCTAATTGAGGACGGGGCGGACAGGGACGTGTGTGTGTGTGCGCGCTGTGTGGGTAGCAGGGCTGCGGGTGTGCTTGTGCGTGTGCCCTTGTTTGTGCGCGCGTGGCAGCCCGTGGATCATTTCGGATGTGCCTGTCGCGCTGTGCGGGTTTTTGTGCTCACACGGCTGTCCCCGCGTTTTTTGGGTGTCCGTGTGTGCGGGGCGTCGGTGCGTCCACGGGGCTCGCGGGTCCGTGTTTTTGTGCGTGTGCCACCGCCAGCCCCGTGCGTGTGTGCCCCGCTTGCCCCAGGCAGCCGGAGCTGATAATTGTGGTTGTTACTGTGAGCCCGTTAATCCCCCGAATCCCTTTACCTCCTGCTCGCAGGGGATTACAAATTAATAAAAGCAGCTTAGGGGCGGGAGCTCCGAGCACACATATGCTCCTGCCGACGGCAGCACCGGGACTTTCGCCCGCTCGTGGGGGCACCCGGGGAGCTCCACACCGAGCCCCCGACCCTGGGACACCCCCGCCGGGGTGACAGACCACCGTCCTGCCCGCTCCCCTCCTGCGGGGCCGAGGGTCGGGACTGTCCCCTGTGATGGTTCATCTGCCCGGGGACAGGTCCCAGCCTGGGGACAGCTCAGCCCTGTGCTGGTGGAAAATAATCAGGGAGATATTTTGGAGGCCGGGATCTGGGGTGCCCAAATAAAGTACCCAGAAATTCCAGGCTGAAGTGAAGTTGGGGTGCAGGTACAGCACTGCTGGAGCGTGACTGTGACCGTGCTGCAGTGACACAGGTACCACCAGCACCACAGGTCCAGGAACAGCTCCTGGGGGGCAGGCGATGGCCCACAGGGCCACTTTTAAGCTCAGTTTTAAAGTGTGTTTTGTCTGAGCCCCTAAGGAAGCACTCTAACAAAACGTGCGTGTGTGGTGGTGCCAGTTCCTCCCGCATGGGGCAGGAGGGAGGGAGGGGCTCTTTCCCACTCAGACCATCCGTGGCACACACCAGCCCTGTGGTCTCTCACTGTGACACCACCACCCCACAAGAGCCCCTCAGGTGATCTCCCCCTACACACACTCCTGTGCTCTCCTGCTCAGGTTGTAGCAGCCACCAGACCCTTCCCCGGGGGTTTCCTCCCTGTGGTTCTGTCACCATTAACAAAACCCAAACCCATGTCTGTTCCTGGTTTTCTCTCTTCCCTGGTTCAGAAGATTCCTGAGCAACCCCTGAGAAGTCTGGGCTTAAAAATACTCCCCTCCCTGTTTTCTTCTGTTGGCTCTTCTATGACCAGACCCAGAGGCTGCACCACCCTTCCCTCCCACGAAATTGTGCCAGTTTTTGTAGGACTTGTCCCCAAAGCAGCATCAGACCATGAATTGAGTGGTCCCAGGACACCCTTTGGTATCTCTTCACCAGGAGGCAGCAGATGGCCCGAGTCTGAGTCTGGGTGGTCAGGACAGGTCTGGTCCTGCCCCAGCAGGGACAACACCCAGGTTTGTCCTCAGGGATTCAGGTGGTGAGCCCAGTCCTCAGGCTCCCCATGGGAACATTGCTGGTTCCCAGGCAAGGTCAGGGGCCAGCCAGGAAGCGAGTCTCAGTGCCAAACATTCCCTGACATTTCAGGAATTTATGGGATAACAGTGACAGAAACGGAGCCAAGGTTCACCTGCTCTCAGAATTAAACACCTGCACAAAAGGATGGCTGTGCTTTGCCACAGGCAGGGACATGGGCAATCCTGGCAACACAGGTTAGCTAAAAACAAACTGAAAACTAAAAACCAGTTGGAAAACACAGGTAAAGAGCCCAAACACACTAGTTTGCCCAAACGTTTGCAATTTATTTTAAACAAGCACATTAGTTTACATTTTAGTACAAAACAGTCACTTTTCCTTCCAAGAGAGGAACGAGACAGTAAAAAACCAAACCAAACCAAACCAGAACAGAATCAAAAAATGTCAAGTTACTGAATTCAAATAAATAGAACATTTAAATTACTGCAATGGTATCGTCACTATTTCCAACACCTCGTGTGCAAAGCACAGACTGAGACAACACATCCAGGATTTTTGTTCCCATCCAGTTCTGAGCAGGAACAGCAGGATGGACACACTGCTGGACATCAAAAATTAGCAGTTCTCAGGAATAACTTTATTAGGTTTCTTTAGCACTTGCAGCTTTTCTCTCTCTCCTGGCACATCCTACTCCTATGCAGGTTTAATATTCCCTCTTTAAAAACATCCAGAGAGCAAAGAAAGCTCCGTGAATTACAAAGGGCCAAGAAATCCCTCTTGGAACTGACTGACCCCGGCACAGGGCAGGGGCATTGCAGGAACCTCCGTGGCACAGCACAGGACACAAATAAACCCTCCAGGACTGAGGAGATGGGGCTGGAGGCAATTTTTAAAGCAGAACCACTTTCCTGGCAGCACCACCCATCCCCCAGCACAGACTGTGCCGTTACACAGACATAAAATGACACCATTTGTCATGATAAAGGTGGAAAACAAGAACGAGCAAACCAAGATTTACACAACTGAATTCAAAGTGAGGAAAAACCTGCCCAGATGAGGTTGTTGAAGGGAAAGCCTTGGCTGGTTCACTGGCAAGAGTTGGAGCACCACCACAGGCAAGAAACATCCTAATTTCACACTTTTGCACTCTTAAAAAGCCACTGGAAGTTGGAGTATTGGTTCCTTTCGTTGTGTTCGCAGCAATGTGGAAGTTAAAGGTGGGTGGCAAAATTCCCCCACCTTATTCCAAACCCACATTTGCTGGTTTTGAAAGGCCAAATCATCCCTAAAAACCTCCAGGAGCAGAAGGAGTCAAAGCTAACCAGGTCAGGTCTCTAAATGTGGGCGAATTCCAATCAACAGCAGCAATGACTGATTTTCAGCTTTGGAATGTGCAGCAATTCCCACAGTAGGAATTCAAGTCCCACAGGAAAAGGCCCAGTTTCCCAGATCCAACACTGCTGTGCTGGCTTAGGGGGTTTTTGGGTGCTTGGGTTTACTTTTAAAATCTAAAAGTCCTCGCCTGTGGGATGAGAACACCTGCCCAGATCAGGTCACTTTGAAGTTGCCTGATTTTCAAAACTAAAGGTGGAATCTCCAGGTTTTCCTCCTTCCTGGGATCTCTCATTGGATTCCAGCCCAAACCAACCTGCACTGAGCCTGTCCCACCTGCCACCACCATTCCTGTTGCTTACAGGGTGTTTTAATATCCAAAGCCAGGTGCTGGAGGGAGTCAAAAGCAACAGGGGACAGCGAATCCCTGAAGTTCAGTTCTGTTACTCCAAGTGGAAGTAGCAGAAACACGTCAGAAATACTCAGTTTTGTGAACAAACAAGATTTGATTATGAAAAAAACAAAAACAAATACCTTGTGCTTTTTAGATTGTTCTTGTTGCCAGGTTTTAAACTTCCTATGCTGGGGCTTTATGAGGGAAACCAGAGGAGGACCCACTAATGGCATAAACACAGGGAATTGGCCAGAGACTCCTTATTCCTTCTCGTGTAACAGAGGAGTCAGCAAACATTCAATTAAATTAAAAGTTGCAAATGTAGAATTGAAAGGAAAAGCCTTTTTATATAACATAATTAATCTGGAGAACTCACTGCCACGAGAAAACATTGAGGCCAAAACCTATTAGGATTAACTAAAGATTAGGTAATGGATAACCAGAACATGCTCAATTACATGGGATAGGATTATAAACTTCACTATCCAGGACGTGAATTATCCCCCCCAGCCAGGATCACAGGAACTCCTATTCCCACTGGTAACTTTAGAGCTGCTTTCAGGGTTTCTTCGAATTGCTGCCCACCAGGCCCCCAGACTGAGCTGTAAAGGAAGATGCCACAATCCCAACCTGCTGCCACCTCCCAGAAAGGAGCAGCACTGCCCTGAGAGCCCTTCCTGACTCCAGCAGGAGCATTCCAGCAGCAGGGAGGGAGGGAAGAGCAGCTCTGTGCACTGCACAGACAATTCACAGCTGGCAGGTGAGCTCAGAGCTGGAAATGCCAAGGGAAGAGTTCATCAGGATTGGCTTCCACCTGGATAACAAGATAATTACTCAGCTATTTTCCTGGTTCATAAATGAGGTGAGTTATCCAATGCTCCATCCAATAGTGGAGCAAGCCAAGCACCAGGTCCAAGTCTGTCCTTGCTCACACCTTAATCTCCAGTAAAATCCTGACCATCATCAGCAATCAGAATCAGGCTGCTGATTGAGACACAGACTGCCCCAAAACTCACACCCAGGCAGTCACACACACATCCTTGGCTGGAATACACAAGAATGATTTCAACACAGAATGCTTTCCCTTTTAAATATGCCTTGGAAATAATGTTTCAGAAAGTCACAGAGGTTTAGAAATGGTTTAATCAGAATAAAACTCGTTTCCTGGAAAAAAAAACAAAACCAACCAACAAAAAACCAACTCAGAATTGAATTCTTGCTCCTCCAAAGGAAGCAGCCAAAGTACCACTGGAACTGTTCAGAACTCGGGGAGGTGAAACCAGCTCTGGAATAAACTAAAAAATAAAAATAACACCTGACTGGAAGTTCACCAAACAATATTCAATTTCCTCCCACGGCAGGCACAGCGGATTGCATAATGCAATGTTTACTCTGACAGTGAGTAAAGGATGTCGGTGGTAAGTCATGGAAAAATCTGCACTCCCTGCCACATGCAACGCTCCCTCCAGAGCACAGCCACGTGTGCCTCGGGCTCCCCACAGCCAGCTCCTCACACCCACCACCTGCAAATGCCTGGAGGGCTCTGCCACAAGGAACACTGTGTACAAAATCCCTGATCAGAAAGGTTAAAGCTGTGCCTGGGAACAGCCACGAACACGGAGCACTCCCTACACCGAGGCCCGGGAATACCTCACCTTCCACCTCTTGGACCTCATCCTGAAAAAAAAGTACATGATCATCAGAAACAGGGAGGAGGCCACGTAGAGGATGACACAGAGGCTCATGTCGATGTTGGAGAAGCCAATCCCCAGGAAGGACACGGCCTGCCTGGCCTCTCTGAGGTTCACCGAGGCCGCCGCGTTTTTGCCGCTACCTTGGACAGCTCCGGGATTCCCCGCTGGCTTCTCCAGCACCTTGGAGCCCGGATCTCCCGGGTTTTCCTTCTCCTGGATCTTATTTTCTCTGTTTCCCCCGGTTTCTTCAGCAGGTTTTTGTCCTTCCCCTCCCTGGTGTCTCCCTGCTCGGGGTCACTGTGGTCAGCCTGGCTCTCGGTGTATTTGTAGAGGATGTTGGCACTGTTGTAGTGGGATTTCAGGAACTGCAGGACTTGCTCCTCATTCCAGCTGTGCAGGCCTTTAATTTCCTCGTGGCATGCAGGACAAATGTCTGGAGTCGGCCACTGAACCTTGGGAAATTTTGGATCCTCGGTCAAATCGCCTGATTGGGAGGAGTTAAAAAACCACAAACAACACAGTAAAAATACATGTCAGAATAAAAATCAGGGAATGAACTGGGGAAAGCTGAAACCTCACAGAGAGCATTTCCCACTCACAACCAGTGGGGTTGTTCAAAAAACACACAGCTCCAAAAATATTTGTATGAAACCAAGACAATCACAAAGAAATTCAGGAAGTTTCCTCAGGGATGCATCAATTGTGACCCGAAACATTTCCAAGCACAAACACCAAAGGATAATTATTTGCCTTTTCTCCCAGGAAAAGCTGCAGCCCTGGAATCCCAGCCCGAGCTCCTGCAGTTGCTGCTTTCAGGAGGCAGGAAAGACCATCTGGGCCCTTCAGGGTTAAACCTGAATTATGGTGCAAAACAAACTGCTCTTTTCACTCCGTGCTCCTTAATCCCTGCACTCTGCCTGGGTTGCAGGAGCAGCTTCAAGGCCAAAGACTCTGATACTTTCATGTTTCTGGGCCGTGAATCATTCCATCCTAAGCTTGCTCTTCCCCAGTTTTGCATTATTGCCAGAGCAAACTGGTTTTAGTAGTTGAAAAAAAAATTCTTATATTTAAAGATGTATTTTTCAGCTTGTGGTTTTTTGTTTGTTTGTTTGTTTTTTTAGCCTTTAAACCTGTAGTGCTGTCTTGATTTAGATCCAGTTTGGACATTTCAGATGCTCACAGCTGAAGGCTGGAGCTGGTGTCACATTTTGCTCTAAAAATAGCATTTGAAAATGTTGATGGAGATAATTTTGGGGAAAAAAAAAACTTGCAAGAAAAAGCTGATTTATTTAGCTGGTGGTTATTAGTACACTAGTATTTAAAATGTTTTTAAAAAGACAGACTCTGGTTTTATTATTATTATTATTATATATTCTTTTTAAAGGCAGGAAGCTTCCCCACGATTTTGAGTAAAACAGGGATTCAAAGGATGCTTAAAAAAAAAAATGTCTCCTTGATATGTACAAGCAAGAGAGTAAATTTGCCTTTTTATCTTCCAGATCACTCAGTAATCAAGTTGTTTCAACAGAGAAAGCAGAGACACAACGAATTATGCCGAGATCACAAACAGAAAATTCCCTGTGCTTCGTGTTTTGCTGCCAAAGAGGAAAATGCTGTCAATCCTGCCCCTTCTAAAGCAACAGGGAATAATCCCACAGGGCAGAGCCATTTCCAAGCAGCTCCTGCCCCACCCCAAGGTGCTTTCACTGCCCAAACATCATTTCTCACTGGAAGCCACTCGTGTGGCCACAACTCCAGAGGGCAGCTCTTAAGGCTGAAAATACATCACTGTCCCATGGAGAGATTTTAGCAAACTTAAAAAGCCCAATTTAACACCGTTATTTATTCCAGGGGGTTTCTACTTCTTAACTGAAAGGGTATTTTTGCTGGCTGTTGCATCACCCTAAATCAATATCCCTGGGAGTTTTCCAATCCCTTAATGCTCTAAATAAGTGTATTGCTTGCACCACTTAGCAAGTCCCAGCCAAGAGGAGTCACCTGGTTCTGTGTTCAGCAATTGGAACCAAAAATTAGGGGAGTGTGTGTGTTTTTTTCATTTAAATCCCTTATCATTTCCTTTTCTTCTCCTCGGAGGGAGGAGACCCAACTGTTTGTGCTCACAACAGTATTTAATACTTCATAAATCTGGGGAATTCAGCAGGACCATAACATGAACACAGTGTAGCATATTTAAATGGTAACCAGTGCTACATTACCCAGATCCATAACAGCAGACAGGGATTTAGTGCAAAGAGAAACCAATTTTCTTTAGTGCTTTAGTTATTTGATACCCTCATAACAGAAGGGATTAAACACAACCAGTATTTTAACAGCACTTTCAGTCTAAGTGAAAACACAGTGATCTAGAGGGGGCACAGATTTCCCTCACACACTAATTTTGTTTTATGCCACTGCTGATCTGCCAATAATTCAGGCTCTTTTATCCTGAGAAAGTCTCTTGTTCACTTATATTTTTCCATCCAGTGTCGCTCCAGCACAAAACAAAGCCAGGTTTTCACCTCTATTTAAAGTGTTACAGAAAGAAATGCGATTCATTTTTATCCACTTTTATTGTCCCTCTTTAAAAAGGTTTTGATTTGGACTCCAGGAAGATCCTCTCCTCAAGTAAAAGGTGAGATTTCAGAAGGAACTCCCTTTGGGAATGGTGTTTTGTCATTATATCCCACAAGGGCACAGTCCCTAAGGGTTTCCCTCCCATACCTGCCAGCCTGTTGTTCACCACGTTGTGCTTCTCCCAGAGCCACAGCACAGCCTTGTCCCAGCTTTTCACGGAATCCATGGACTCCCTGGCCATCTCCTCGAAGTGCTGAGCACAAGCCCTGCACCCAAAGAAGTGGTGGATGTACCTCCTCATCACCTGCAGCACAACCTGGGGGTTGTCCTCGAGACCTGCAACAACACAAGGGACAGGTTTATTCAGCCCCCTCTGGACCAGCACAGGCACTTCAACATCACAGTGAGCCAGGGGAAAATGTTCCACCACTCTTGTTCACTGCAAATTTACACCTGACTCTAAAAACAGCCACTTTTGTAACTTAGAGATACCCAAGGCACAAGTGTCACCACACAGGATCTATATAAAAATAAGTCACAAAGGTCTTAGAGGGACTAAAAGCTTCACACAGTTCTTTGAAGAAATAGCCCCTCCAACAAAAAAATATATATAATATTGTCACTAAGTAGCTCATCTGTAACAGTGCCACTAAGTAGTTGAGGTGAGACATTTAGAAGCAAAATGATTTGGCAATAAATAGAGCTGAGAGTGCTCTCAAACAGGGCTTTCCACAACACACTGTTTGGAAAGCTTGGCTGGGCTGTCAGACACAACTACAAGGGAATGATTTCCAACACACTGAGGGTCCCAAAATGCTGATTGAGCAACAGTGCTATTAAAAATGCAAAGTTGCTGCTTGCACCAATACAAACCAGCACATTTAGTCTGTACAACTGTGCTGAAAGTTACCCTGAACAACACAATTAAAATAAGAGTTAAAAGTCAGGTGTTCTCTACAGTGAAATTTCTCCTTTCAAAGAGTATCTGACAATTCAAGAGGGGCAAACAAACTTAGTTAAATGAGAGCCAGACATTCATTTTTACCAGAGAACATTGTGAAATTGTTCAAACATGCAAAGTTCACACTGCCTGTGTGTCACAACTCTTCTGCAGGCAGATATCCTGCCCAATAAATGAATATTTATGGCATTTATGCCCAGGCACTGAAGTTCTGGTGATCCTTCTACTGGAAAAACCAGGAGTCAAACCCCCTCAGGTCAGTATTTCCCAAGGTGCCTGTGATGCCTGTGTGTTCCTGAGGAATTTGAGCACCAGAATTTCATTAAACTCATTAATGCCACAGCTTTTTTGGCAGGCACTGGATGCACCCCCAGAACAGCTGCTGAGCAACGTTTGCACTTCCAAGAGTGAATCAGGAATCCCTCCTAAAATAAACACAAGCACATTATTATTCTGTGACACTCACACTTTTACAGTAAATAGCTAATAATTAATTCTGAAGTAAAAGGTCTCCCCAGATGGAGAACTTTGTGGCCTTTACTGTGTCAGCAGGTAGTTCTTTCATCTCCCAGTGGCTTGAAAACCTGACATAATTTGTTGAAATCTTAATGGTTTCATCTCTGTCTCGCAGAATTTCTGATTCATGCTTAATTGACCCAGTAAATTATGTCAAAATGCATTTAAAAATGTACTGTGTGCTACCAGAAACACACACTTGTCAAATTAAACACATTTTATGGTGCAGATTGATCAAATTACAGCCTCCTGCTGCTGAACACTGGAATAATTTACTATTGCATTGTTTTTTGGAAGAAAAAAAAAGCCTCGAAAAAGCTGCTCAAACTATCAGGGCACTCTTGTTATGTGTATAAGAAATACATGTAGACCTTTATTTAGAATAACACCACAATATTCTTAAACCCAGCAGCAAAAAGAAGTCTTTAAAGTTGAAAAGAAACCCTAAACAGCAACCAATCTCTCCTCAGCCCCCTCAATATCTGTGATTGAGCAGACATGTATAAATAAAAGCTGTGAGATTAAAGTAGATTAAATTACTGTATTAAAAGAAAGGGCTGGCAAATAATTTCGGAAAGTTGAAACGAAATTTCAGGCAGAACAGTTTTATTATTCACACTGAAATATGTATTTAGAAAAAAAAAAAAACAACACCAAACACAACCAAAGTAATTACCTGCAAATAAATCACACAAAAATGTCATTATATCTGTTACACTCCTGAAAATTCATTCTGTGGGGAGACCTTTCCAATTCACCACTAGATTAGGAAAAGAATCCAGATAATTCATTATGAAATCCCCAAGCCTGCCTTATTCACACCAACAGATCCTGTTATGAAAAACTCATTCCTCTATAATTAAGTGTGCTCAGGACTCGATGTCTGCGGTGAATTGACACGTCCTGGGGTGTGAGCAGCTCGGATCCCTCGTGCTGCAGGTTCAACATCTCCCCCTTCCCCATTCAAATATTCCAAGTGCAGCCCAATAAAGGCATTTTCTCCCTTAACCCACAGCGAGCTCACCCCGAGGAAGCAAAGGAAACAAACAACTGCAAACCGGCTCCTTTTGTTTGTTTTTCTTTTATCAGTCTCCCGAGATGAATCTTCTATTAACATCTGCCACGTATCATCATCGTGTAATCCTCCTTTCCTCTCTCTCTCCTCCCCAAACTACTGCGATTCAGGGTAACCCTAATCTCTAAAGTGGACAAGAAGCATAAAAGCCCTACCTGTGGTGGGCAGGATTAGGGGAGCACATCATGCTTTTTAGTAGATGGGATTTAAGCAAGCAATAAGGAGAGGCAAACCTTCCCCAAGACATAATCCCACAGTCTCAGACTGACCCAATTCTTTGGCTGTAAGAAGTGATCAGCACATCCCTGCCCCCGATCCGCAGCCGGGGTTAGCTGTGCCAAAGAGTTCTCAGGTCCTGCCGTGCATTTTCAACTTCAGGTTTGGACTCCAGGCTCGGAACACATAATTTAAGGGGTGATTTTGCACGGTTTAAACCCCCAAAATTCCCAATGTTTAATCAGCAAGTGGGACAAAAGGGGAATTTAACTTAAGGCAAGTGCAAACCCCTCGAAGTCACAGCACTGAATGGAAGAGATTTAACCCACTGTCCCATGAGAAACAAAGAGAACAACAAAAATAAACAACAGGCTGATTTGCTATCACAAACAACAACAAAAATCCCTGTTCTGCAGGAGAATTATTAAGATTTGAAAGATCTGCAAATCATTCACGTCTAGAGTTTGAAATAATAAAATAATCAGCAATTGGCAAATCGCAGATTTCTGGGGTTTATGGTTTAGGAACAGTCCACCTGGAATTCTCGTATTCCTCAGAAAAGACATTTAAAAGGCTTTAAATGAGAACTAAATAGAATTGTAACCAAATACAGTACTGTCCTGGCAAGAATAAAAATATATGAAGGTCAGTATTTTAGCATTAATAATTCTATTTTCATTGGGTGAGGAGAATAGATTATATATCCAGCATGTTTCTTAAATGGGAATCATCACCAGAATATTAACACTCTGCTTCACAAGATGCTGCAACTCTAAAAACAAGCAATTTTACAGAGTGCTGCCAAAGCAGTAAATCACTGCAGAGATTAATGACAGGTACATTCAGCTGAAAAAAAAAAAAACATCAACCCAAAAGAGTCATAACATTCAGTATTTAATAAATAACATTACAGAGGGATCAGCTAATGGTTGGACATCCTTTACAGCTACTAAATTCTGTGGTTAAATCTCATTCTTCTCAAATTGAATTCCCGGTGCAACCTCAGGTGACCTGAATCATTTTCATCCCTTTTCAGGGAGCTCAGAATTTCTTTTGTTTGAATTTTATTTATTTTTTTTTCCCCTGCTTTATCACTCCCAGCTTTAGGGCCACACTCTTTATTTACCACATTTCCCAGCAAGGAGAAGGGGCTTTCAAAACCTTCCAGCTGCAGCAAAGCTCTGACCCCTGCTGGTACAGACCTGCAGCCACAGATGTATTAACTGAGGGTTTAAAAACCCCCCAAAAAATGTATTTTTTACCTGTATTTAGCAAGGCTTTTGGTCTCAGTGCAGCTTGGACAGTGAGGGTGTGGAACAGCTTCCAAAGGGAGCAGCTGTAACCTCTCAGCTCTGGTCTGCTGCCCTGGCAGCCAACCCACTGCACCTTCTTCGTCAGAAATATCCCAGAAATCTGGAAAAAAACCCCAAAAAACAACACATGATGTAGCTCAACCTGTAAAGTTATTTTTTTCAGAACAGCGTGAACAAAACCAACACAAAAATATTGTAGAATTTAATATTATTTCTTCTTAAAGCAAACCCACTTTTTATTCCTTACACCCCAAATCCAGTGCAAGGTTTTAGTTTCAGAGTCTTCTCTCTCTGCTTCCCAAAACACACAGGAGGTTTCCAAATTTCAGAGGGCAAATAAGGAGGGAAGATTCTTATTAATTTCTGGGCAGAGGCAGTCCTGTCACAGGGCTTTGATTGCCAGAGTGGGATGGGATTCCAGCAAGGCCTTTGCATGCCAGGAAATGAAAGAATAATTCAGGAATAACGCCCATTTCAGTGGGTGAATCTCCCAGAGAATCCTGCTGATAACAGGCACAGCAAAGCCTAAAACATCCCCTGGGAATCTGGGATCCCTGGAAGCTGACATTAGGGAGCACACATTGCTTGCTCATTCTAAACCCAGCCAGGCTTGTGGATTTCAATTCTCTCATTTCAATTTCTTCATTGTAGATTTTTTGTTGTTGTTGATGTTGTTGGCTTTTGTTTTGTGGTTTTTTTTTTTCTGGTAATGATTTCACTTTATTTTCATTTTAACCTTCTTATAACTCCATTATGACCGAGGGACCATCAGTAAGTGATGTCTTAGATTTACAGAGAATCTTATCCTTTACTAATGCTGCATTTTCTGCTGGGAACTGGCACCAGCTTACCCGCATTTTGTTGTTGACCAGATCCAGAATAGCATCATAAGGGATTTTGTCTAATGGAAGGCTCACCAGCCACTCTTGCAAGGTCTCTAACAACTTCACCACAGGCTGACGGCCAGGAAAGAGCTGAGGAGAACAAAAATAAAAAAAAAAAAAAGCAAGGAAAACAATATTTTAAAGCCCAAATCTCATCACCAGCAAGATACTTTTGTCTAAATTGCCTAAATGTTTTCCTGCCTTTCAAATGCTTCAGATTATAAGTAAATTAACTGCTTGTTCTGCTTCCAGTGAAAAGCCATCTCACACTAAGTTAGGCTGACAAAACTAACAAGTTTTATCTGCAAAATATTAAAATGGAAGGTACTGAAGAACGAGCAGGAATTGCATGGAATAACTTTGGCCAGGTTACCCAGAATTTCACATTGGGGTAATTCAGTTCAGAGGGTGGCTCAGAACGGAGGTGACACCTCAGTGAATCAGGGAGGCTGAAATCCTTCTCACTTTTAGAAGACCAATCACCAAAAATCAGTTCTTCTTGGCCAGATTTCTGTCAGTTGAGGAGCTGGTTATCCAGAAGAGCGTTTTCCTTCTCATATGGGTAAGAGTGGTTTCCAAAGTGATTTGGAAGCAGTGACTTCCTTAGATTGGAATTTACAGAAGCCACAGTCTGGCAGATGGGTGTGAGGGACTGCAAGTCAGTGGTGAGGTCGTGATTTTACACCAGAAATGGTTATTTTGCTTTAATTAGGGCTGTGATTGCTACAGAATTGAGTTGAGTGTGCCCACCAGCCCTTAGGGAGCAGGATTTCAGCAATGAAAATTCCCCAAGTAGGGAACCAGAGACCTCTGTGACTTTGGGTTGATCCTCACTAGAACCAGGAGCAGAGTATAAAATGTTTCCTACCAAAATCACCTGCAAATCATGAAGGGGAGATACAAGGAAAATGTTACATCACCAAAAATAAATGCAAATAAAGGCCAGCAGCCCACCCTGCAAGGGCAGGTGGAGCTGAGCAGGGGCCCAAAAGAGAGCATTCCCAATTTCTGCACTAATAACTAGGGAAGCAAATGACATCAGCTGGCCAGGGGCCATCAGGAAGAGCAGAGGATGTTTTAGGGATAATATGATGGAAAGATTAGCACCACACTTTCTTAAAGAAATGAGGCCAGTGAGAGATTTCTGACCTCTGATGGCTGCAGGGGGGGGGAAAGGGGGTAAGAAACTGTCTGTCTGATTTTCAGATAAATCCAGATATCTGAAAATGGTTCATATAGGCCTTATTATTCCCTTAATAGTTATTGATTCACTGTTTTAAAATAAAACATAGTGGTAGCTACACTGTAAGTAAATATAAAGAGACATTGCTCACTTCAGTAAACTGGCATTATAAAGTGAAATTACTTCAATTTTTTTTCAATTCACATTATATTACAAATATAACACATAAGCATTCTTATTTTTTAAATACTCATTAATATTCAATGCCTCCATTATTTTGAAATAATCAGTTAAAATTCAGTACCTCAATTACATTCCAAATTTAGACAGAAGCTGCTAAGGTCTCTAAACAGAACACCACTTGCCAAGTGTGCATTAACAAAATCCAAAAGTCAAGAATGAAAAACAAAGGTTGTTTTAATCCCACTGAGTTCCAATAGCTACTTATCCTGAAAATCTGATAAATGGACTATATTTACAGTGGCTGTTCAATATGCTGCAGACTACTTAAGCTTTATTTAATTTTGAGCCCTCCAAGATTAAATTAAAATGCATTTTAACCCTGTAAGTATGTCAGAACAGCACAAAAGACTTCAAAAACAACACATAAACAAACCCACAAGACTCCTTTTTCCCCTATGGAGGACGCACATATTTAAACATCCCGAGAGACCTTTGCCCCACAATAAATTGATGATGTCAAGCCACTTCATTCTCACAAATAATCAACGACCAGAAGTGTGTACCTTGGCAGAGATGGTGACAAAATCCTTGAAGGTCCTGAGCTCAGCTCCCTCCAGCGTCTTGTGCGTGGCGAGCTCCACCCTGAGCAGGAAATGCAATCCCGACTCAAGGTCAGCCATGTACAGCTTGGTCCTGGAAAACACACAAATCATGGGGGGACAAACCTGGCAGTTTTCTTTTGCTTCTTTGCTCCCCAGCCACGAAGATAAAATTGATGGAGAGAGGTGTCATTAAAGCCTCAACCCTGCAGAGTCTGCAGTTACCCCGCCCAGGGTGCTCGGGTTGGTGTCATTGGGCTCTTTCATTCTTTTCAGGGTTTGGATAAATGAAGCACAATCACATTGCAGAAAGTTGGTTTTTTTAATATTTGACTAAACTTTTCTGCCTCCCAGACAGCCTTTACCTTGCCATGAAATTATAGCCCTGGCACTGCCAGCAAGGAAATGAAGCGGTGCGAGGAAATTACAGCTGCTCTGCTGGGGTGGCCACAAACAGCAAAATGGCATGTGATGGACAAAGGGAGAACTCTGTTCAACAGCAGTGGATTAAAGACAGAGCAGGGGCACAAACAAGGCTGAAAATGGCACTGTTGGAAAGGACTGGGGTTAGAAATCCTCTCCCAAACGCAGCAGTTTTACTGCAGGTCCTTCCCGTGCGAGTTAAACCACACCGGCCGGTTGAATGAGGCACCTCGGGACAGCTCAAAGCAAACCACGTAAAACAAATAGCTTTAAAAGTTCCTTCCCACAACCAATCATCTTCATAACAAAAACCACTTCACAAAGCACAAATGTATCAAGAATATCCCCCCCAGCTTTCAGTGCTTCCAGAGCACGGACTTCAGACAGCGTGAGACAGAGCAATGGCACTGAAAAAGCAGAATTTCACTTGGGGAATAGTTAAAATTTCTTGTAAGAGCTCGGCAGCACTATTGTTCCTAAAACAATCATTGAAGAAATTGGCTGGCCCCACCTCCTAAATTACACACAGGAAAGAACATATTAAAGTACAGAATATTCTATATCTTAACAGCTCAAACCACAGAGTTATGTTGAATCTACCTCCTTATTTAACAACGTACTCACTTAAATTTTAAAAACCAGCAAAATTCTGCATTGATTTTCTTATTTAAAGAGACAACCACATGAATGCAGGAGGTTCTCCCAAAGGATCCTATTTAGGAGGTACCTGGACTGGAGATTCATGTCCCCAGGATTTGGCCTTGCTGGAAAGCAGCTCAATTTAACTAAGTTGTTTTGCTAAGAGAATGTTTCATATAAAGCACTTTCTAATAGCCATTGGAAGAAGATGACACTAATAGTGTCTCTGAAAGGAAAATAAGTACGAAATTAAAGCCCTCAGTCCTACATCTTTCCATCTAAAGATGCTGAGGGATTATCTCTCTGCAAAGGCTTTACATCCTCCTCTCACACAAAGAGAGAAAGAGGGTGAAGATAAACCTTTGGGATTTGGGATGATAAACATCTTTTTCCAGCGACTTTAGTATTTTCTATTATACTTGCATTTGGCAGCACTTTTTAGAGGGCACTGCTTCAAGTGTTACACACACAGAGAACTCTCCTTATCTACAGCTTTTTATTTTACTATTCAGTTTTACTTCCTGAGGTTTTCCAACCTCATTTTTCCATCCTTTTCCCACTCACATCACTGATTTATATCTTTCAGGCAATGGACAAAAAGCTCTTCATATTTTGAAGAATTTATTATAAATTACAGCACAGCTTCCCACGGGGCAAAAAAAACCCAACAAACCAACAAACAAACCTGTAAAGTAAATTTTAATAATCAAGTATTGATCTGAAAATCAAGGGGATCACTTACTTATCAAACTCTTTCCACACCTTGATTTCTGTGCCCTCCTCTTTGTTTTCTTGAGCAGGAAGCTGCAGTGGCAAAAGGAGCTTTTTCCTCACACCTGGCAGTGACTTTAAATATGAAGAAAAGAAGGAGCGGAGAGGCTTCAAACTGCACATAAACAGACAACAAAGGGAGATTACTTTTAATCTCACACTGAGTGGATATCCAAAGAAAATTAGGATATTTATAAAACAAGATATCCGCTCTGGTTCATGTTTTCCAGTCCCAGAGCAGCACGGTGTGTTTCCATACAAAGTGAAGTGAAATAATGTTCAATTTAGCAACAGCACAGAATAATTTGTTTTGTGTGAAAGGAATCCATAGAAGCTTTTTTTTTTTTTATATATAACTGAAATGAACCTCCTCTTACTGCTCTGACTGCTAATGACTTACTTGTTAATTAAGCCATGGGACCCGTTGGGTTGGATCAAGTAGCAGGAGGGCACTGAGGGAACCCCCAGTTTCTCCAGGAAAGCCTTGTCAGAATTCAAGGCCCTCCTCACCACGATGTTTTCATACTGGATCAAGTCCAAGATCACCTGGGTGACAAAAAAGATGGCATGAATTACACATTGTCCAAGGAATGGCCCCAGAAATGGGTGAAGTGCATCAGCCTTTAAGGGCATCCTAAACTGTTTGCCAAAGAAGTGCAGCTATGAGTGTTCTGTGCACAGTAACAACTGCACTTCAAGAAGATTTATTCTTCTCTGGAAATTATTACTCCTATCTTCCTCTTTTTTATTATTTTCCTTGGTCTCTCCTGGTCTTTGCCTCCTTCCTTCCATCACAGTGATGACACGTGGCCTTCCCTTCTTCAGGAGCTGGGACTCCTGTTAGGATTGCCCATATTGTCTTATATTGTAAACATGAAAACAGTGCTATTTTCTATTTCACTATTTCTATTTCTATTCTGTAAAGCTAAAATGCTACATGACATTAGCAAATATCTTTTCCTCTGAAGGCAGACTCCACTTTGTGTTAATCAGCTGACTCTCAGTCTTCCTGTGTAGCAGCAGGTAAAGAAAAAAAAAATTAAAGCAAGTGTGATAAAAAGCTAAAGAACTTCATAATCTTCTCATTTCTTTTCTTCAGTAATGCTCACTTGTATCAACACAGCAGCTTCCAAAAACAAATGCCTGGAAGCAGAGCAGCCTGCTTCCCAAAATGATTCTCCCTTTTGGCAGCACCCCCTCCTCCCCTCCTGCAACTGGGCCATCTCAGCATCAAATCTAATTAGAAACATTTTGCAGACATTGGATGTTTCTACACAGATTATGTCCAGATAATTATGCAATTTATTTTCTTCACTTATCCCAGATCTTGGCAGGAAGAGAAAAGCAGCAGTTGTCTAAGCTAACAGCAGGCTCATTAGGTGGGGAAAAGATGCCAAACCAAATATTTTACTGATGGAGTGGGGAAAGCAGAAACCAAAGACTTCCACTTCCTCCATGCCTCAGAGATGCAAAAATAATCTTATGCTATCATCTTAATTTAGAACAGAGTTTCCCAAAATTTACATGTGAAGAAAGGGAACCTGAGATTTTAGATCATTATTGACAGTTGAAATCATAAAAGTTGCCCAGAAGAACGAATATCCCAAATGGTTCTCCAGTAGTAACAAAACAGTAACGTAATCTGACAGTATTTTCCCTGTGATCTTCTAAATCCTGAAAGAAAAAAAGAACTGGGCTAAAAGTGAAGTTGATAAATTAATCTTCCACTGAAACATGAATGGAAGAAGTCAACGTGACATCACATTCTTTTGTGAGCGAGTTCCTCTGTGTGACCGAAGCACCGCCCTAGAAAATCCCTTGGCTTTGTGATCCCTCCAACAGGCATGACCTGCCCTTTCTGACCCTTGAATTCAGTCCTGGAAAAGGTTTGTTGCTTGGCTAAATAACCCAAAATTCAGCTGTGTTGTGCCAACATTCATTCCAGGACCTCCTGGGGTTCAGAAGGCACAGTTACCTCTCGTCCCACGTAGGAGCTGTTGCTTTCAAACACAATGGCAGTGTAGTGGTGGCTGTTCTTGTCAAAAAGAGAGGTGATATCACTGGACCTTTTAACAAAAGAAAAGAAAAGAAATTCAGAGTGCAACACACCCCCTGATATTTATGGAATTTCCTTTTGCAACCTCACAGCAGAAGTGATAGTAGGGAAAAAAAAACCTCGCTTCACCTTTACTAGGACCTTTTGTATTTTATTTAATTAACTCAGTGACCATAAACAGCTCCATTTGCAACAAGGAACTCACCAGACTGGGTCCAGTGGTGGGCAAGCAGGTGGTCTGACCTCCTGGGAATGGTTCTGGAGGAAGTCAATCATCATCTGACGGATTGTTTGCAGCTCTCTGTCTGCTCCTGCTGAGAACAGGTCACAGAAAATACAACCCCTTCAGAAACTGGGGGGAAATGACTCCCAAGGAGGTTTTCTGGTCCTGTGCAGGCAGGTTTTCTCATGCTGTGCTTGTTTTAAATTTAGACTCACAATGCAGAACACTGTTTGGCTGAAGAACTAAGGATTGAGTTGCAGGATTGCATTTTAATGTTAATATAAGATCATATTTAAAAGCTGTCGTCCCACCCCAAAATTAATACAGCTTCAAGGCTTTTCCAAATCTACCCATCTGCCTGCCTGACTGATTTTCTATTCTAAATTTGATTCTAAATTTGATTCTAAATTTGTGCTCATTTTCACAATGGTTGGTGTGGGCACCTTCAGGAGCTTTTTTGCCATAAGGGTATTTATTAACCATGAATGTAAAGGTGTATCAATCCCAAATGGGCCAGGTAACAATTTGAGGAAATAACTGGAGTGTGAGAATATTTGATTTGCTTGAGGAGAAACCAATGGAAAAGCAGGAGCTGTCCCAAATGCCAAAAAGCAGCAGGTGCCAGCGTGGCTCCCCTGGCCAGGAAGGGTTAATGGTGCAGGTGGTCTCTCCTCTGACCTCTGGCCTTTGAAATGTTAATCCACTGAAAGACACAACATCACTTTTGTGCCAGACAAACCAGCTCAAGCTGTGATCCTGTCACACAGGGGATAAGCCTGGGTTCAGTCAGGCAACATCTGAATTGCTCTCCCAGTGCCATTCAGGATGCCTGGAAAGTGGCTCGCTGGAGTCAGGAGCCAGCAAATTGGATCTGCTGATGATGAGGTGTGTGGTGGGGAAAAAAAAAAAAGGGAATTTAAAAAAATTATCACGACATTTGGGATAATTAAGAGCTTTATTTAAAAGAAAAATGAGGAATGTGAGTCTTAAGATCTGGAACAAATGTTTTGCCTGTCTAAAGTTGTGCCTAATACTCCATTTTCATACAGTGCTTGGAATATCCTGCCTTGAAAAGCTCTTTAGTGCCCATCCCAGCTCTGTCCAAACTAATTGACAGGCAAAGCGGTGTGACACATCCCTGGCTCACAGGAGAACTGCCCTGGGATTCCTTACAGTTGGATATTCTTACCTTGGTAGTTTTCTCCAGTAGTAAACTGCTTTGTAAATGCTTTGAAGTACTGTGGGGGAGAAAAGAAAAGTCACTGCATCAGATAAAACCAAGAATGGCTTTCAGATTTTTACTTTTCCAGCTCTAACTACAAAACATCTTTATCTTGGAGTTTTCCCTCTAAATTTATGAGCTCCAAAGAGCTGTTTCTCACTCATATGTACCATTCAGAACTCTGATAACAATGAAGCCAATTTAGAGGAAAAATACTGCAAACATTAACCCAGATGAACTGATTCCCAAAAATCTGTGTTATCAGCTCTGCATATGCTTGGAACACAATTCACATTTTCCCAACTCCCTCCAGTGGTTAAACAGGAGATCCTTAGGGAGCTTGGCCACCTTCTGCTATGGAAAAGAAAATGGAAAAATAAAGACTGTGTTCCAATTTACACCTAAAAATTAAAGATTAAAAAAAAAATACTGTTTTTTCTCTCAGGGCAAAAGATCACAAATCCTACAGTGAAATGGCTCCTGTTCCCCCTCATCTCAAACAGAGTTTATTCAGCCCTCTCCATCCACCACATTCTGCTCAGCCTTACAGTTAATAATGTGATGACACAGACTGACAGAGAAGGTAAAAATTGCATTGAGATTTAAAAATGAACAATGGTAAATACTTCTGGTTAACACAAGATCCTTTCAAAAGCCAGTTTAAGCAAATTATGAAATTAATTAGGAAAATAGTGAATGATCAATCAAGGGGAAATTTTTAATTGGTCATGAAATAAACTGTTTTCATGAGGTAATTCCTATGAATATCCTTTGCTTTCACACCCCAACACTAAAACCAATATCAATAATCACAAACATCTGAATTCGAAAAATATTTGTACAGATTGTTGTTACCTAATGAGTCTACTAAAATGAAGTGTTATATAAATGGAACAACACAGTATTTTGTGTTAGAATTTTCCAAATTCAGAATTCCTGCTCTAAACAGCTGCATCAGCTCTTGCATTCAGCAAAAAAAAAAAAAACCCTCAAATTAATCTGTTATCCAGTTTGCAGTTTTCTCAGAAAAAGCAAAGTAAAAGTCCAGTTAAAGAAAAATGAGTTATTCATAATTTTATGGTTTTAATTCCTACAAAACATGCCTTATTTACCCAAGGCAGGATGTTGTGCCACTTACCCTGAAGGTGGGGTAGTAGTGAATCCCGTATTCCTTGCAGGTCTCATAGTTCTCCTCCTCCCCACAGTCCAGCACCCCAACTCTGATTGCAGGTTCCCAGTCTGAAAACAAAGACACCTTTCCATTTTCAGCAGAAGTGATCAGGGATCCCAGCTGATGGATTACTCTGCTTCCCAGGGAAAGCAGGAACAGGACTCTGACAGATTCCAGTGGCACAAAAATCCAGCCCTCGGTCGATGCTCATTTGCTGCTCATTTCCACCCTCGAGTGTAACACAAGCTCCTGATTTTTCAAAGAACTAAAACCTCCCTGTTTCTCTTGGCTGCATCAGGGGTTTAAATGCACCTAAACAAGAGGAATCCCGACAGGCAGTGCAGCAGTCCCAGGGCTGAAGGCATTTTAGTGAATCCAGGAAGATGAAACTGGGGTCATCCCATCAGGACCCTGGATTGAATTCCCCAGCTTTTCCCATTAGCTATGCCCATAAAATGAGGCATGCAGAAAACAGGACTGAATCAAATTAATCCAGCAGTTACTCATCCACATGGCTGTCAATTACAAACCCCTAAATTCGATGCTTTGGTTTTTTTAATAAGCTGCTTTTTTCTCAAAGTTACAATTTTCTGAGAGGCCTCAGGATTACACATAACCCCTCAGCTCATGCAGTGGCTGCTGAAAGTTGTCTTTATCCATCAGCATCGTTCAGAAATACATGAGATATGCCTCAAAAAACACCTGAATTTTAACCAGAGTGCTAAATAGTGGAGTTTGAGCATCACTGTGAGTTTTCTTTATACACGTTTCAAAGCAGTAACCACAAGAGTTCAAGTATTTCCACAAATACACTTATGTAACTTCAATAAGAGCTTTCAACTCACAGCTCTTTCCTTCTCTTTTTGCTGGGAACTTATCTTTCTGAGCCAGGCTGTGCTGCAGCAATCACTTTAAGGAAGAACCACTCCAAGGGAATCCTCAGACAGTTCCTTTTTGAAGCAAAGTTAAATCAAACCAGCCGTGGGCAGAATGTCAAGGTTCCCCCCTGCCCCCAATTCCCCAGTATCAATAAAATTTAAAAAGCACCAAAATCAAACTTGCTTTCACAGCAAAGAGCAGAAAAGCCTCATCAAGTTCAAGAGCTGCTTTGCCAAAGTGCTTTTGAAACTTTGCTTGACCTTCATTTGTCTTTGGAGGAGATGGGGCAGCTGAGGGGAGAGTTTTGTGCCGAACATGCCAAGAGCTGAGCGGGCACCAGGAGACCCCCCCCAGACGTGCTGGAGCAGATGGGCACCTATTCACAGCAGCACAAAGGACACAGCAGTCCGTTTCATCAACTAAAATGCAAAATACAAAAGGAAAGTTTGGCTTCTGGGTATCTCTGCCATTCAACTTCCAGCACTCCTCCTCCTTTTTCCACCTGTCTGGATCCTCCTCCGGGCCATGAATAGGAGCTCTGTGATCCCAATGCAAATAAACCCCACACAACAAAGCACCCCCAGCCCAGCTAAACCCCCGGGTTAAAGAGCACCAGCTGGGGACTGTGTTGCTCAGCATTCCTGCTGCTGGAAAAGCAGCTTTTCCTTCCTCAGGGATGCCAATGTTGCTGGAGAGCACAGCCCACACCGTGCAGTTTACACGGCCACTGCAGCCCTGGACCTGATTAATTTTAAATTAGCATGAGCAGTTTTGAAACACTGACTCACAAACCATGTGGAAAAGGCAGGGGGGTGACATATTAACCAGCACAACTTCTGTTCATGCCAAACAAGTTCCAGTGAATGACAGGACTGTCTCGGACAAACTGGAATCCACAGGTTGGTCAAACCTCCCACTTGAGAAAGGCTACACAACACTCAATCCTATTTTTGAGGAGGATTATGTTCTGCTATGAAATCTGCAATGGTTGTATTGCCAAGATTTAACTTCAAATGAGAAAGAAAAATACAAATGAAGTCTATTAGCACAGGCCTTTTATGGACAGAGTAGTGGCAACCAATTTAACCGGATTTTGTTTGGATACCAAATCAGCAAACGCATCCACAGTGATCCAGGAGTTCCCTAATGTGAAAAGAACCTGCATCCTCGAGGAAAGCTTTAATATCCTAGCAGAGGAGTAAATATTTTCGAAAAAATAAATGTTGAGACAGCCTAAGTGGGCAAAACGTTCTGGGTTTGGGTTTTTTTGATGAAGCTCCCAATGAAAAGTGTGCCTGTTCTCAGCCTCCTCCTAAAATCCATTCATTCCAACCTGAAAGTGGAAACATTTTCCTGACAAGTAACACCAGAAGCCAACTGCATTTGCTGGCAGTGCCAACGTCCACAAGTATCAAAATCCACTTTCTAAATGAAAGTCTTCATAAAAATTCAAAGGACTAAAGAGGAGAGAGGCCTTTAAGTGGTTCCAGCAATACAAGTGCATAACAGAATTTGCAGTTATCATGGCTGTAGATGAGAAAGAAAATACATATTTGAAGAAGTCATTGCAAATTACAAAGGTATCCCACTGCTGTATTAATATATAAACATGTCCCTGTTTTATTTTGGCAAAAGCTGTGGTCAGTTCAGGCTCTTCATGACCTTCACTGCAGTGCTCAAACACTTCCTTGTTACTTCAAAGAAGAAGAAAATCTAATACATTTTGGCCAGAAGCAAATCAAAGCAGTAGTGAAAATGTTACATAAATTTATGCAGATTAAACAGAAAAAAAAGCCACTGCTTTTCTAAACAAGCCCCCCAAGGAGCATCTGGACTGCTCTGAAACCATGACTGCTCTGTGCTTCTCTGGTTTGGAGCCTCTGCTCATCAGACAGAATTCCTCAGTGCGTGGTGAGTTCCTCAGCACCTATTTTTGGGTGGGCCCTCATTTGCACAGATCTAAAGCCATGTACATTTAACACTGCATCTGCATCTCCTGGTAGTTGTTAACACTTTTCAGGCTGTCAGAGAAGAGCCAGAGCTCTTCACTCCCTCTCAAACTGAAACCACAAGAGCATTAGAACTGCTGTTCCATCCTGGAAAGATCTCTTGGGTGAAATGCTAAATTAAGAATAGTTCAAAAGCCTTTTACATCACTCTGTTAAGAATAACATTTCATACAAATTTGATCTCTGGTTTTCTCCCCACCAGAGGTACTGAATGTACCCAGTACCTGAGGGGCCTGTTTGCTCCCTTGCACACATAAAAACAGAGTAAAACACTTCAGCACCTGCCAAAAAACCTGAGCAGGCTGACACAGCAAGGCAGGTCTCTCAGTATAAGCAGTGGAGGCCACCACTTATTTTTAATTCACCATGTGATAAATCTGAAAACCTGGTTCTCACTTTGCTTGATTTTTGAATTACTTCCTGGTGGTTGCCTTCCCCCTTCTAGGCCATCCACACTGTGTTGAATTTGCAAGATACAGATCAAATACATTCACAGTCCTTCCAATACCACAATATTTTTTATTTAGCTTCCAAAGCAGGCCGTTCTCTTTACAAAACATTCCGAGGATAAATATTTTGCCTCCAAGAGTTCAGTCTGAACAAACCTCCCATGGGCACACATGAACCCCGCTGCTGGATCACTGCCTGTGAGGTGATGTTTTACCCCCGGATTCCCACGAAACCTTTAATTTGGGGATGTGCTACCACCACCCATGCCTTGCTCTGTCCCCACGTGCCATTCTGGCAGCGTGGGACCACCAGGGAAGTGGGATGAGGGGTGATGCTCACACAACAAGGGACCACCAGGGAAGTGGGATGAGGGGTGATGCTCACACAGGGTACCACCAGGGAAGTGGGATGAGGGTGATGCTCACACAACAAGGTACCACCAGGGAAGTGGGATGAGGGGTGATGCTCACACTCAGAACACCACCAGGGCGCTGGGAGGAGGGGTGATTCTCACACACCGAGGCCCCACGGCTCCCACACCCGGCCACGCGTGGCCGGCCCGCACAGCCCAGGGGTGACACAGCGCCCGCGGCCCCCCAGCCCAGCGCGGCCCTGCACCGGCACCAGGCACCGGGAGGCCGCGCTCAGGGCGGCCGTGACCCGGTCCCAGCCTCACCTTTGACGTCCCCCGCCAGCGCCCGCCAGGTGGGAGCGAAGGCGATGCAGTGGCCGCAGGACGAGCTGTAGAACTGCACCACCCAGGCGGCCGACGAGTTGAGCAGCGCCGGCCGCACCGAGCCGGCCGTCAGCACGCTCAGCGGGTCGTGGCCGGGCCGGTAGAGCCGAGCGGCCGCGGCCGCCGCCAGGAGCACCGGGAGCAGCAGCGGGAGCAGCCCCGGGAGCGGGAGCGGCACCGGGAGCGGGAGCAGCGCCCGCCGCCCCCCGCCCGCCGCCGCCATGTTGGGACGCGCGGAGAGGGGCGGGGCGGGGCCGCGCCATAGCAACGCGCCCGCCATGGCGGCACGGCCTGAGGGGAGCGGTGGGGGCGCTGAGGGCAGAGAGGGCTGTCCCGTGTCCTGAGGGCAGCGAGGAGTGCCCCGTGTCCCTGCGAGGGCAGAGAGGGCTGTCCCGTGTCCCTGTGAGGAAAACCAGCAGTGTCTTGATTCCCTGTGAGGGGAGCGAGGAGTGTCCCGTGTCCTGAGGGAAATGAGGACTCTCCCGCGTCCTGAGGGAAGCCAGGAGTGTCGCCTGTCAGGAGTGTCGCCTGTCACCTGAGTGTCTCGTGTCCCCTGAGGGCAGCGAGGACTATCCTGTGTCCCTGAGAGGGAAGTGACAACTGCCCCGTGCCCCTCAGAGCCTTTCAAAATGTGGAACATGTAAAAATTTTCATAAGCGAGGGTGTTCGTTGATGCTTGACCTTTCAAGCCTAATCAACAAGAAGGGAGGTTTAATCGGTGAAACAGCAGCTGATAAGCAAGCTCTGAGTGATGTCCGTGTGTCAGAACAATTTACTTGTTGGTGGAGTCGTTGAGGTCTAGGGCTGGACATACTTCAGTGGGTAGGTTAAGGCTCAGGAAAAACAATGTACCACTGATAGGGGTACAAAGAATGCACAATTTTCGGGCCACGAGGACGTTCCGCAGAACTCCATGACCCACTGTGGTCCCTTCCGACCTGACCCAGCCTGTGATACTTTGAGACTGCTCGGTGGCCAAATTGATGTGACAACTGATGTGGAAACTGAAGTTTCAACTTCACAAAGCTTCTCACCGCGAAGAGATGAAAACCTCATGGCCTGTGGGTCGAGAGCTGTTTCATCCCAAAGTCCCTCTCTCAGCAGGGAAGAGCCATTTCTCCTCAAACCAAAGCTCTGATAAAAGGCTGCACGTGGGCAGGCTGATAAAAACTCTGTCCTTTCCATAAATTCAGGTTGGATGTGCACTAGTAATGGATTTTAGCACCTTTTATAGCTCTGGCCACAGTATGGACATCTCCTTTCATTTCTAAATACAGGCTTAAGAACTTCCATTACATTAATGAGAGGCAGAAAACCAACAACAGCACCCGAGGACAATTTCAGAGGAGTTTAAAACTTAGATAATTAAAGACTGAGGTCTCTGAAAATATAATTCTTGCTTCTGTTACTCACAAGCACTTCTTTTAATCCTTTAAGAACAAGTAGGAAACAAATGGGTCTAAATTCTTACTTCAGGCCCACCAGTGTAAATTTAGAGGTTAGAATTTAATTTATCAGATTCTCTCCCTTCTGCCTTTTCCTGATCCTCTCTTTTTTTGACCATTAATATCTGAAGTGCTTCAGTCACATATCTTTTGATCCATAGCCACAGCTACAGGCTAAATGATTTCTCAAATCACAGCCCAGCTTTGGGGTTTTCTGTCTCTTTTTCCAGGGTACAACAGCAAGAAAATAGATGGTTGCAAGAGCAGAGTCAACAGCCCCAAAGAATTGAAAAATCTTGCAGCAGCTGCTAATTAGGATTTTAAAAATCTGCAGTGCCAAAGATATTTTAGAGCACATTTTATTCAGAAGAATCGCTAAATGTATAGAGATGAAAGAGATGGATTACAGGAAAATTAAATGTAGGCTTTAACTGAGAAATAATCATTTTCTATGAAAGATAATGACTCCTCTTGAGCCTAGTATCAAGATTTATTGACCCAGGAGGTTAATATTGATCAAACCCAAGGCAAACAAAATATTAGACCTTGAAGGAGAGTAATCTTGATATTGAAGTCTTGCCACTGAGTGAGCAGGTCAATATATCTGGGTGCCAGAATCTCAGCTTTGGAGCACGGAATGGTGGGGGATATTAAACACGTCTGACATGCTCTGTGTAGACACTTTTTATTCTCATCAGGAGGGGTTACTTTTATAGCTGTGTCCTTCCCTGCAGAGCATCTCCTGAGGGTTCAGGCTTCACTCACACACCTCATTGCAAAGCTGAGGGTTATCAGCCTCAGGTGCAACGTAAGGCACCAGTCTGAAATCAAACAAGTCCTTCAACTCTTATTTCATGTATAAGTGATGTTTTTAACAGCTTTCATACCAAACACAAGGCTCCTGCTGCTGCTGCAAAGTCAGGGATGACAATAAAGTGAAAAACCAGAGCGCTTCAATATATAGATTTGTCATTGTAGCCAACAATCTGCAAGTCCAGGAGAAAAAAAAATTGAGTTAAATTCTACTACAAACTGACAACAAGAAAACAAATAACTTATCTGGATTAACTAATCAATGAGGATAAAAGTCAGAGACTTAAGAAAATGTACCACTAGGGACATGAAAACAGTTCCTAGGATAAGACCAACAGTTAATAAGCTCGGGGCAGAAGTTGCCTTTTTATTTCTGTTCATATGGCAACAAGCAGGGGAGGGTTTGATGTCCTCAGGAACTGTCTGCAGAACAAAAGTGCTCCCAGTCACTGCTGAGAATAGCAGTCTATGATAATCTGCAATTCTAATTGATTTCAGTACAAATAATGTTTTACATATGGTTTATTTTGTTGCTTCAGAAAAGAATTCAACATGAAACAATTCAGTAGGAAAACAACCAAGGCAAAAGAGGTGGGACAGCAATTTCCATAGTGAACTGATTACCACGCTCAGGGAATGCTTATATTTCCTTGCTAAAATCTTGGGGTTTCCACTTTTTCCAATGTTTTGCCATTAGAAAAGGATTATTGATTTCCTCTGTTTTGCCACTTAAAGCACATCCCCAGCACCCCATGTTTAGATGTTGTAAGAATTCAACAGGCTGATGTGAACTGGATGATAAATAACCCAAATCACATGCACATAATTTAATTGACAGACACTGAAGTTACTGGTAGGAAAGTCTCCCAGTTAAAGTGCATTGCATCAGTATTTGTCTCATTTACATAAAATTACAGACATTTAAACTGAACATCTGGCTCTAGGTCCTGCCATTCCCTATGTCACATCTCTGGAACCATCTCCAGGCTATTTTTAACTGGTTCCACAATGTATTAAAAACAATAATGATGGCACAGTCACTTTAAAATCTGCTGTACCCATCAGGAAAAGTTTTAGACTTGTTCCAGTTAGAGGAGTTTATTCCAAACTACAGAGGCCCACAGCAATTCAGGATCTGGGAGATGCAACTCCATCTGCACATTTACATTCTTCAGACAGTCACCAGTGATTTTCTGAACACAGTTTTCAAAGCATTCACAAACCTGAGCATGATAACAAGAATAAGATCGTTTGCACACAAATTAGTTCTGAAACCTGTTTGGAGAGACTTATATACAATTTTAAAACACATTGTGCTCTTCAAAGCAGATAAAGTGCAGTCTTGAATTAAAAAAGAGAAAAAATTTCCCCTTTGGATTCTGTTGGACATCAGTCTAAGAAGACCATCGATCTTAATGAGCCTCCCCAAAGCACAGAACACAAGGAGAGTATTTTGTGTGATATTTTTCTATCTGCATAAGTCTCTCCTTGATCCTTTCAGCATAAATATGAATGTACAAATTAGGCCAAGGCCACACTGGTATTGGGCACAAGTTCAGAGTTAAAGTTCTTAAATCACTCATTTCTTGACTGAAAAATAAAGAAAAAAAATCAGAGATTAAAATTCCTCCATTTGGGCCCATGAGGAAAAACTTCTAATCACAGGCTTTTCTCAGGTAAATCTTATTAAGAACTCTGATTGTATCAAGGATCAAGCAATCAAATATGCCTTCAGTCATCCTCATCTTCACTGTTAACTCATCATCACCATAATAAGTCCACTGAGACTCTTCTTTATGGAGCTCCTGAATCTGAAATATAACAAGAATAAGCTCAAGAGGAGGAGTATGGTTGGTTCTGAAAGGTCCTGAGACACTGTGCCTAATGCAACAGCTTTCTATATATGATATATAATAAAATATATATAATATAGTCAATATATTGAGATATTAAACCACTCACTAGAACTGGAAATACTAGATTATTATTGCAAGTGTACTGGAAAGAAAGGCAATAACTTGAAGTCCTGAAGTAATTAAGACAATATGATTCTCACAAAAGAATTTCTAGTTTAGTAAGAAGGCAAATCCCATTTGGAATTCTGCTTACCAGAATAAGATCCAGTCTGTCTCTCTTACAGTTTCCATACTTGGTCATATTTAGGAATTTCCTTTTCATTTCTAAGTCATTCTTTTCCAGGTTCATTATTTTAATAATTTCACCCTGAACAAATGTCTACAAAAGAAAAAAAGGCTGAAAAGGATTGGCCTCATAGGAACTGTGGCAGATCAGTGACAGGCACTGAAGATCCAGCTTTGAGGACAGAAACCTCCCCCAGTTTAGGGAACTCGTCAATATTGGCCAACCAACACATTTTAGTCATAGTGTTACTTTAGAGGTTACACCCAAAACAGTCATAATTAGGAGGATTGAGGCCATTCCTCTGCAGAGCTCCACACTTTTGGAATATTTTGACTAACCAGCTCAGCCTGTGTTTATTCAGGCATTTCAGAGCAATGCTGTTTTCTTCCCCCATCACTTCCCCTGCCATCACCCTCTCCCTCATTTCACACTTCTCGTTGCCCTTGCAAGACCTGCTCTCTTCACTGGCTCTTGTTCCTGCACTTCCCATTCCCAGAATGTACCTTGACATCACTGACATCTGTTCTTCCACAGGGATGCCTGGAACAACGAGATCCCACGTTTATTTTCATCCATGGAAAACTATTTGGATCTGCAGTCACTCGATATTCTGCACGTAACAGCTCCCGGGTCAAGTCAAATATAACCTGGAAGAACAAAACCACAGCACTGACACAACTGAACCTCTCCCTGCTGGCCCTTTCAAGTGTTTTCTCAGCACTTCTGAAGGATTTTGGTGGAGGTGGTGACAGGAAAGATTTGAATCTCAGGGCAGGATTTCCTGACAGCACCTGTATCACTGATGCTCCCACAGCTGGTGTCAGGTGTCCAGGGGCTGAAGATCTCTGGCAAAAGCCACCCATTCTACTGGAATTATCCAGCTTTACTTTGCAGTACCTTCCAGTGTTCCTTTAGCTACGCTTTGTGTCAGTTTAATAATTAGATTAATATTAAACATTATCTGAGTCAGCTTACAGAACACTAGAAAAGTTAATAACAGTTAGTACTTTGAAAATACCTGATTATACATCCTCTTGCTTTCTGCTTCCAAATCATTCCCTGGGAGATCATTACATTCAGAGTACTTTGGCACACTGATGCTCCTGAAATTTGAATTTATGTCTTCTGGGGTCCACAATTCTTCTACAGCACACGCAGACAAGTTTCTAACATAAGAACTGTAATGTGGTATCACAAGAGGAACTTCCACAGTTTTCTTCCAAGGAGCTGAGTGCCACTGATCTAATTTGTACAAGTATTGCCTTTGTTTTTGTCTCATCAGCATATGTTGGTCAGAATTAGGCTGAACAAAGTCTTCAGAGCTTCCAAAAACACCAGCATCAAGGATTTTATCAAGGAACTTCAACAGAGAGGGGAAAAAAAAAAAATAAAATTCCTTAAGTGAGGATAATTCCTTAAATTTAATGCCTTAAATGGGTCAGATTAAGGGAGCAACCTAGTTCCTAATGGTGAGATGATGTAATTTTTATGAGTGATAAATTCTTGCCTGGATAGACCCAGCTTCAGGACCAACACTTTAAATAAAAACTCTCCCACTGTACTTACTGGCAGAGTGGTTGGAGAAGTCTCTGAAGATAAATGAAGTATCTTGTCTGCTTTTGATCCGTGTTTTCTTTTAATCTTCCTATATTCTTTCACTGCATCGTCTATAAATTTAGTTACAATTCTTTCTGCTACTGTGTGACAACCATGAATGCAAAGCGCATCAAAATCCCCGAGGAGAACATCAGAAACCTTTGCTGATGGTTCAGATAAGACAGCAGCTGAATTTCCTTTGAGGAGAAACAGTTTCTGGCTGTCTCCTTGCCTGAGGCCTTTGCTGTAATTCATCATGTCCTTTTCAAAGGCACTTTTATATTTGTGTTGAGCTGTTTCAGAAAACGCAATTAAAATGTCCAACAGAAGTTTTTTACCGAGTTCACTTGCAACATCATCAGCAAGTTTAATTCTTTTCTGATCCTCTACCAAGCAACAAATATTTTTACTTGTGTTTACCTCATCTGTGGTATTGGTCCTGCTTTTCACTGGAAGCACAGCTGCAAGTATCCTTTGTTTTATTTGTGCCAGCTCTGTTTTTTCCTTATCTGATCCCAAGCACATCAAGTTCTTTTCACAGAGAAATTCAGTACACTTATACTGGCTGCAAGGTGGAAACTTCTGCCCTTTTCTAGACAGAAAGGCAGTGTGTAACCTGGACTGGCTTTCTTTTACTTCTGAGCCTCCTGCACTTTTTGTGTCTTCTGTTTTCTGCTCTGTAAACCCCGCTCTCTGCTCGTCATCTCCAGAGTATCTGCAGTCCCCTTTGAAGGATTCACCATCATCAGAGTCAGAATCTTCACCCCCAGAGGAACTGGAAGTCTTTTTGTTATCCCCCAAGAGGTGTGAGATCTCCTCAGGCCTGACAAAGACACCACAGTGCTGAGCACACTGGAAATACTTCACCCCTTGGTAAGTCCCAGCATTGTCACCTTCAGCTTTGTCCAGTGCAACACCAGCCCAGTGGCCACTGGCAAAATGAGTCTGTCCTTTGAACAGCAGAGTTCCAGACTGGCTCTGCTTTACCAACACCCTGTCCCCAATTTCAAATGACAGCAATGGGTCATCACTGTCCCCCTCAGTGCTGGGCAGCATGAAATCTGTTGTACACTGGTTCATTAATAAGTCAGGACTTTTACTGGCCTGACCAGAAAAAATAGGGTTTGATACAGGCAGGAGCTCCAAATGCTGCAAAGATGTCTCACAGTCTCCTTGCTGGTGTTCTGGTAAGTCCTCCTTTGGGCTGGAAGTGGCTTGAAGTGAAGATTGTTCTGAGTGACAACCACCCTGAGTTGAAAAAGCATCAATTGTCTCTTGACTGAGCGGGGAAATTCTTGAGGCACGATGTTATCAGGTAATGGGGGCCATGCATCCATTTCCAGTGATGTATCTTCACCCATCCCCTGACTGGTCTCTGAGCCTGTCATTTGTTCTGGTGGGGATGGGAAATCATCTGGGCTGAAGGTAGGATCATCATTTTTCATTGCACCTGCACCTAAAGAGGGAGGAAGAAGATCTTCACTTGGCAATGACAAATCCTTTTTGTCAGAGGATGGCAAGTCAGCACTTCCACAGGACAATACTTCATCCCCAGGAGACAGGATTTCCGACAAGGCATCCTCAGCAGTTGGAGGGAGACCCTTATCACTGATAGAGGTTGCATCATCCTCCCCTTTAGAAGAGCAGTGCTCAGCCTGAAATAAATGCTTTTTTGAGGAGGCAGAAGAACAGAGCCCCTCTGGGGAGATGGACATGCTAACAGTTTGTTATTTGCAATATCTCTGTCAGGCAGAAAAGAAACAATGTTCCCCACTTGGTCAGTAACTAAATCTCGATGTTTCAAAGAAACCATTGGTGGAAAACCCTTCAGGTCTCTGTTCTGATCCACAAATGAACCTCTAATTTCCCCTAACACTCTGTTAGCTACAGAATTAGGTTTCTGCTGTTCGTAGATCTTAGGTGAGTAAATATCATCACTGCATGAGGAGCTGACAGAGGCATCAGTACCCTGTTCTGGGATCTCCTGAGAACAGGATTGGTTTCTACTGGAGCTTCCTGAGGCATCCAGGTGTGGCTCACCCGTTCCCTCCTCAGGGTTAGCAGATTGGGAGGAACGTGCTGGCTTGGTTTTGGAGGCACTTGCTTTGTTTGCTGGAGTGAGAGAAAGCAGATGATCAGTGCAGCCATGACCCAACCCATCTCCAGGGGATGGGAGCTGGGAGCGTGACAAAACCTCAGCGCTGTCATCTTCAGGCAGTTCATGATCATCAGTAGGTGATGTTTCCTTTCCATTACTTATTGCTGTTGGCACCTCTTTTGAAAGATCAGGAGACACTTCACCACTGTCATGGACAAACTCTCCTGGGACACTGCCATCTGTGTCCTCTCCATGGTTCAGCTCCAATTCTGAACCTGAAATGGAGCTTGCTGAGATGTCAACCCGAACTGCAGACACCACCTGAAATTCTGGGGGTGAAGAGCCTGATTTGGCACTTTCACATTTCAAAAAGAAGTCATTTGACTTGGATGACGATTCAGTGGAAGAAAATCCTTCAGAAAATGCTTTTAAATTTAGTTCTTCATCAGGAGCTTCATGAGAAACACTGGTCCAAATGCTTCAAACACTGACTGTCATCCAGCTGATAAGGAACAGGCACCTCCACTTCTTTAACTGGAATATTTAAAAGAATTTTTTTTTAAAATCAGCATTTCATAAAAAAGTATTTTATAGAAGAGGTTGCTGGTAGATCACTTAGGACATACAAACCTATAGTCTCCCTCACTATGGTATGTAGGATTAATGCAGAAAGATGGTTCATTAGAAAAAAATGACACAAATACAAAATATTGCCACAATATGTAAATATTTATAATACAGAGATTATGCATACCCAGAACTATGTAAATGATATAACTGGCTCATATATAAACAGACAGTTTTATTTTGTGTATGTCCTACTGAGGAGTAAGAAATATGAACTGAGGATAAAACCTGGAAACAAAAATAACTCCAGCGTGTCCTGTCAAAGTCTATCTTCAACTAATCTATGTTCTTTTAAAAAGAACACCCTTAAATTACTGAAAAAATGCCTCAAAAGAGGCTAAGTTGTTAATGATACAATCAGAATAAGTTATGATTTTGTTCTGAGGAAGCGGGGCAATCACATCTCCTAATAAACCTTGGAGAGATCCCCTCATCTTGCCAGCAGTGATTTATGTGTTGGGTACAGTGAGCAAGACACTTTGGTAACAGACACTTTCTGTCTGGATTAAAGTTTGAGTGAAGTGGTTAAAACAGATTGGACATAAAAGCATTAAATATGATTTACCCGTTCCCTCAAGAGCATTCTCTGCCTGAACCATGCATAAGTTACACCAGGTAGAAAGCATCCCCAGGCTTTTCATTGTGAACTTGCTGCCACATGGACTAAAATCTGCATTGCCTTTAGGATCCACCTCTGGGTTTGAAAGAAGTGCCTCTTCCTGCAGCACAGATTCCTGGAATGTAAATATTGAAGAACACAGTTAATATCAGATTAAATGTACACGTTCCCCCTAAAGTATATAAGGACCTGTGGGCTCCTGAGCAGATATATCCACGCTGGGGCTGTATCAGGGAGGTAGGAGATAGGGAAGGGACTGGTCTCTGCAGATGCTGTGGGAAATAATAGTTTAGTGCTCTGGGAACAGGTTTAGTTTCCCCTGGAGCAGCACAGCACTTTCCCACAGGAGGTGGGTTAAACACTGTCACCAGGTAAGAGCACAGAGAACATGGAAGGGGTGGGAGAATTGGTGAACCAGCTGAACCCAGGTCAAAATTTAATGTTTAGATGAAGTGAAGGTACCCAACACAGACTGATTTTTACTTAATGTCATAACTGGCAGATGAGTCTTGTGCTGGTCCTGCCATGAGGCCAACATATCCCAGGGCACCATTTATTTAGGCATTAATGGAATTCCAGAGGGATCCTTACCTGAAATGCACACTGTCTGCCTTCTCTGGTAATTGGTGTAGATACAGGTTCATCCATTTTAGCTGAATTTATATGTTCCAGAGGTAATAAAACATCACCCTGAGCAGTAAGTTCTGAAAGGTACAACATTAAATTACAATGTTTCCAGTGCTACTTTTTTATATTAACAACTTTACTTCGGCTTTTTGTTTAGCTCAGTGTTAAGTAATTTATAGTTTGAGTAACCATTACCCTAAACGTTCCTAGTCACACCACCAGCAGCTGAAAGGACCAGTGACTTTATCAATCATCACCTTAAGTACCATCCAGTTTCATGGAAGCAACTGGAAAGCCAAATTCCAGAATTTTCTACCCTTTCTTTCTTCATCTGTGCACAGCTGCTGCCTCAACAGAGCAATTCACACCTTTGCTACTGATTCTTGCTAATCCCAAGCAGATCTTGGCACCAAAACTCACACTGGAGGCAACCAAGGAACAGCTCAGCACCCCAAGTTCTCTCTCAGGGGCTGATCAGCTCAAGGTCCTCTCCTGAAAGCTCATTTGAACCACTCCAAAGAGCAGCTGAGACTTCCACTTTTGCCCTAGAAGTGAGTAAGTGGTCACAGACATGGTTTGCTGCAGAATCTGCACTGGGTACCTGTGTTTCTGCAGTCTTTAGCCATAAAAACTGAGCCTGTGGTTTCACCAGCAGCACCACACACTCTCTTGGCCACCATTCTGGACATTTTCACACCAAGGGACTGCTCCAAACCTGGGGACTCCTCTGCCTGTTTCTGGTGCTGTCCCAGTGTTTCCTTGTTCTCAGTAGAAAAGCTGTAAAGAGTTGGACAAAGGATTAATTTGGATTAATGTTTGGGAGTGGGGTTTGTGTTTCCAAGTTAGTCATGACAAATCCATATGAAGTCAAAGGTACAAATTAAATGCTTCTGCTAGTGCTTGATAGTATCTCTAGAGCATTTCTAAACCAGCAAATTAGTATAGCCAGAAACACTCTGAATAGTGTATTTATTTCTCCAATCCCCTCCCTCTCACTTGGTTTTGTATTTTATACAGTCAAGTTTCAAACCTTCATAGACAAGAACAGGAGGAGACTGAAAAAAAAAAAAACAAACACCAACAAACAACAACATTAGAACTCAAAAATCAAACCCAGGGTCAAACTCTGGACCTGTCTGCCTCCTCCCTTTCCAATCAAGCATAGCATATCAGATTTCAACAATTCTCATTGAATTTTCTACTTCAAATATAGCGTTGCAATTTTATGGACATCAGATACAGATTTTGATGGTGACTTTGAACTTTCTAAAGAGTATCCTTACTGCAAAAACACAAGACAACATGACTCATACTCACAGGCTTTTCCCTCAGTTCTATAATTAACAGCTAAGTTCTTCTGTCCAGAAAAAAAAAAAAAATAGATCTGGGTTTTTTCGGTTTGGTTTTGTTGGGGTTTTTGACTAGTTTTTACTTTAATACCAGTTTAAAAAGGTAAATATGTTCTTGAGGATATTAACAAGAGGAATATCCAGAAGTAAATTCCTATATAGTATTCAACACCAACTAATGTTTAAGGACTTAAAAATAAGTAACCCAATTTAGAACATATATCCCTGATTCTTAAGTTAAGAGTTTGTCCATTTGTAAGAATTACACATTTCTTTATCATTTGTTTCTAGTATTTAACACCCATTACAAAACCCCAAACCAGCAGTTTTTTCTGCATGCTGGTAATTTATTATTTCAGTTTGGTTTCAGTTTTGAAAGTATTTCCCAAACTTTTCCATCCCCTTACAGCCCTCCTCTTGTTAACTACCTTCCTGATCAGTGTAAAATATGACCATACCCATGCTGGTGGATAAATAGCAGAATTCCCACTCTGCACTCTTACCCAGGACAGAGATCTGTGGACAATCAGCCTGAATTTGGGTGCATTTGAGTTCCAGCAGGCCCTGGCTGCTCTAGACTGACACCAATATTCACTGTTCTCCTATGAGCAGCTTTGTCAGTGATAAGAAGTGAAAGCACAGCCAAGAAACCTTTTAAAGATTCCTCTGACTTGTAATCAATAACACCATGAATTATAGATCAGTTCCATGCAGGGATTTATTTGAAAGCCTTTCCCTGTGGGGACTTAAGTAAATGGCACAAACCTGACTCACCATTCTGCTAAAGCTCTGGGTGCACTGAATGAAAAGAGGTTTTAATTCATACAAATATGTATTTTTTTAAAACTTTTTTTTTCCCAATTAAATCAATACATTTCTACTCATTCAGCACGGGTATTTTGAAGTCTAATTAATAAATAGTTGCAGAGAGGTTTTAAAAGCCACGATGAAAACATGAACTATCATCAGTAGCTGTGTGGCATCATTAAAAGTGCCCTGAGGAACTTACCATTTGGGACACCAGTTGGTCAGAATAAGCAGTGATATTTATGCATCAACTGCTTGAACATCAAGTTTTCAAAACTTATCATTATAAAACTCCCCTCTTCAGGGTATTTAGTGCTCACACAATTATCTAGGACATAACTGTCTCAATCTGCTCCTCTGGATTGGTTCTTAACTTCAGCTATCACTGAGAAAGGGTTTTACTTACCCCTCATGTTTCTTCTGTTTGTGCTTTAGCTGGAGACAACTCTCTTTACTCCCTGACAGCTCAGGTCTTTCTGGGGGGGCTGCAGACTCTGCTGAAGAGGAACAGGACCTTGGGCCAGAAGTAAGCTTCATTTTCTTCAGCTTTATTGCTTCTTCAGTTGCTTGGTTCCTCACAGCCTAAAAGGAAAAGGTAACAGAAGGTTTCACCTGCAGGATCAGCTCTGACTTCAGCTCTTACCCACCCAAAAACCCACCAGGACATCCAGCGACTGTGACTTCACAACCTCCTGCTTCCCAGACAAACTGTGCAGCTTTTCCTGGAGTTGTGCTGTTGAATGCTGCATCATTAAGATTTCTCTTTGCTGCTTTAACAAAAGCTTTCTTTCTTGATGGGCTGCCCTGTAGATGTTTTGCAGGTGCTGGATTTCTGCCTACGCAAAGCAGAAAAGGAAAGGAGCATAAGAGCGAAGATAACAAGACCTACTTAAAAAAATATGTGTAAAGTTTCTTAACATACTACTCACAAAACACCCTGAAAATTCAATATGCAGGTTTTGCTCCCTTTTGCTAAAAAAATTTTGCAGTTTTATTTTTCACTGGGGGTTTTGTGGGGGGGTTACCTGTGAAAACTAATGACAGATAAGGGGATATTTCGATGGGGTGTCAAGAGGCGAGACCTTTAAAAATGAATTATCTTCAGATCATTCAAAACTACAGGATGCTTGTGGTTTGCATTAGGAATCCCTTTAAGGAAAGGACAGGCTTGTACTACATAAGGAGCAGGACACACTTTCTGACTACCAAGTGTAATTATGAACCCTGCATAGCAGAATAACTGAGACTATAAAATTAGCTGTCAGATTAATTTAATGTATTTCAACATCAGAAGCATAAATCTGCATAAATCAGTGAAAACCTATATTACATGACCTGTTTGTTGTACCATAAATAGAAAAATCCACAATAACAGTGAAGTAGCAGGAAACAAGATATAAAAAGGTGTTTTCTTTTATCCAAGATTTACAGACTGCTGACTTCAGCACAAAAAAACCCTCACTGAATATAGGAAACAAGCAGAATAACGCATGCAAAGTGATTTTTCTTTTTTAAAAAGCAAACCCCACTTGCTCCAGCAACTCCAGACATCTCCCCATGCTGCATCTTCTCCCACTGGTTATGAGATGAAGCCCATCTGCTCTCACTGCAGCATTACCTGCTCCTGTTTCAGCTCCATGAGGATTTTGCACTGCTTTGCTGCCATGGCAGAGGCTCCATCACTATCCTGGAGGTTTTCCAGAACACTGGAGATCAGAGAAGGATGAGAATCACAATCAGATGATTAAACACCTTGAATTTACTGCCCTTCGGAAAACAACGCCAGGGATGGGAGAAAAGCTCCTCTCGGAGCAGCAACAGCCATGAAGGACTCTGCAGAAAGTTCTTCAAGACTCACAGGACATCTCCCAGCCTTGGGGCTGTGGTGCCTGGACCTCTCCCAAGGCAGATGGAGTTCCCTGAGTGCTCAGCGCACAGCACTGGTGAGGGACACAGTGCACTGGGGATGCTCACACTGCACCCTCACCATCCCTGAGGGCTCCTCATCCCAGCAGCACTGAGGGACACCCCTCACCATCCCTGAGGGCTCCTCATCCCAGTCAGCACTGAGGGACACCCCTCACCATCCCTGAGGGCTCCTCATCCCAGTCAGCACTGAGGGACACCCCTCACCATCCCTGAGGGCTCCTCACACCACCCCAAAGGAGGCTGCAGTTGGAAGCTCAGCTCTGCTCTGGAGACACTAAAACCATGCAAGCTCCTCTCCTCTTGCCCTTCTATACCCACGCTCGCTTTCTGAGAGAAGGATTTTATATTTGTTCTCTTTGTCCTGAAAGGAAGAAAAGGAAGTAAAGCAGTCCTGGCCGAGCAGGTCTCTGGGGCTGAGGGCCCTGTCCCCATCATGGCAGGTTCGGCGTCCTGCCCATTGTCCCCCCTCACCGTCTCTGGTGGCCCAGCCAGGCCAGCTCGGCCCTGGCCTTCTCCCTCAGAGCCTTTTTGTGGAGCTGGAGGAGGGTGGCGTGGTGTCGAGCCCGCAGCTCCTCTCCCCTCAGGCACTGCTGCGCCAGGGCCAGGCTGAGGCGGCAGAACGTGCTGGAACCTCCATGGAGCGGAATGGCCGCGCTCCACTGGGGACAGAGCAGAGCATCAGAGTCACTGACAGAGGGACTAAAAGCCAAAAAACAACCCAAATCCAGAGGAAAACCTCCCTCAGAGTGTTCCCAGAGCTGGCCTTACCTGGCTGCCACTGCTCTCTCCAGAGTTGTCCCCTGCACAGGACTCCCCATGGGGCAGATCCACCAGAGGCGACAACAGATTCACGGCTTGATGGCTGTGCAGTGGCTCCCCCCGATCTGCTGGCAGGGATCCTAAGGAAAGGAACTGATGTCACTATAAATAAAATATCTGTAACAGAAGGAAAAAGAGAGACCCAAAAAAACAACAACTCCCACAGTACAAGTTAACATCCGTTCCTGAATTCAAGGCACCTTCGCAAAGACTTGGAAGCCAGGCCCGTGCACTGCCCTCAGCAGGAGCTAGAGGAGCCACCCCACGGCTGTTCATTCACAGGAGCAAGGTATGAACACTAAACTCATGGTGCAGTCACGGTAAACAGGTGAAAAGGGACCCATCAATAGGGTAAATAACTCTCAGCTCCCAAGATAATTTTCCATAGAAAGGTCCAGAGTACAAAGGGAGACTGCTATGGTTTAGATATGGATAATGAATATAAGTATTTATGTCAACATTTTTGAAGTCAGTTATTGAATTTTGTTCCAGCACGGGCTGGATGGGCCTTTCATCAGCCTGGTCGAGGGGAAGGTGTCCCTGCCCATGGCAGGGGTTGGGATGAGATGATCTTTAAGGTCCCTCCAACCCAAGCCATCCTGTGATTACATGTCCCAGCCCACAGATGCTTCACTGTTTCTAATGCTTTCTTAAAAAGTGCTTGTTTTCCCTGTACCACCAAATCCTTCAACTCAGCCTTTACCTTCTTGCAGCACTGAGCAACATGAACCTCTTCCTCCCAGAGGTTTTCTTTCTCTCACTATTTTGGGATGCACTGGAGAGTGAACTCTTTCTATCTTCAGTGCAGGTTGTTTCAGTGAGCACATCTCTTGATTACTGAAGGTGAGAAAGAAAGGCAATATTTCCTTATTGCAGTCAGAGATACTATTTCAATTCTTACCTTTCATAGCTAAAGCTCTGTGGAAACTGAATATTTTTCAAACCAGAATGCTGCTCATTTTTATGAGATGCTGAAAGTTTTACCTGTGCAAAGATGCCTTTCTGGTAATTGCATCCATAAGATCCTAGAAGCAATTCTCAGGTCTTTATCCCACTTTAAATGAACATAAAAATGTGCACATACAATATTCTCATTCCCACCAGGGTATATCAGGGTAATGCAAAATGAGGAAAACTGTATTGTCCCACAGGTTTCAAAGGGCCTTCTACCTTTTAAAAATGCAGCATCTCCCCCAAGATTGGAAGGTGTTAATATTATGATTTGGGCATAAATCAGAGTAAAATGACTGTATTGCATTTGCTTTAGTGCCCTAAGTTGTTCATATAGTCAAACCACGGGCCAAATCATCAGGGTGCCTCACTGCATCCTGCCTCCTGTACCTGCCAGCAGCGTGGTCACCTTCCAGCTGGTGTCCTCTCCGTGTTTGCTCTGTGTGGTACAGTCCTGGCACAGGAGGATCACTGCCTCTGGAGCTCCTGCACTCCTGCACACACAGAAATTACCCACAGACCTCCATCATCTTTGTGAAAGGCACAACTTCTGAATCTTCTTCCTTCGTCTTCTTGGGAAAGCACCTCGTTGTAGATAAGGTGATAATTCAGAGGATACTTTTTGGTCAATATTAGCATCTCACTAGTCTCTCCTGTCTGAGCAAGTATCACTGTAATTATCTCTTGAGGACTTAAAACTTTCTCTTGAATTTACAACAAAACCAGCCATAGACACCAAAAGCTGCAGTACCTCAGTGATTTCAGATCAACGCTCCAAGTGACAGTCTAAGGGACTCTGTCACCTGAGAGACCCGGGCACTTCCAAAAATTACCCTGATCAACAGTTTTTAGTCAGTTAAAAAAACCTCTTTCAATTAAGGGACTCTAAGTGAGAATAAAACCCAGTGGGGACTGGAGGAACATTTGCTGAACCTAGAGGTGTTAACCCAGGATGTGAAATGATAACTTACCTCAGAGCTGTGCTGCAGCAAGTCACTCAAAAACCTCTGGCTTTCCTGAACCTCCTGCTTTGCTTTCTCCCTCAGCACCATAAGCTGCTGTTTCTGCTGGAGCTGATGGATCTGTGGTAGGAAATGACACACCATAAATGGTGTTTTTAACACAACACCTCAGGGCTGGGGGGCAAAGGGCAGCCAACTCCAAGACAGGGGGAGGACAAACACCACTTTGGTTGCAGCACAGCAACCTGCTCTTACCCACCAGAGCTATAGCAGGACCTCCAAACAGCAAATAAAGGCTGGTACCTCTCCTTTATAGCTCTCTGGGGGTTTATAAACCTGATGCAGATCAGCTGATACCAACTGGTTATCACCTAAGCACACCTGAATCCAGGGACAGCAGCACCTTCACTGACCTTCAGTTTGTGAGCCAGCAGTAGGGAGGTTTGCCTCAAAGTGTCCAGGTGGCTCCTGTGTTTGTCTTCCAGCTCCCTGTAGCCATGGTCTCCCTCACCTGTAGGAGTTTAGGAAATAGATGGTAACAGTCACCATTTAATTAAAAGAACCTGTTCTTCATTTAATGGGTGCCAGCTGGAGAAATATCAGAGTTAACCAGAGGCAGACAGTGGAACCAGATTCCTTCAGATTTTGGCTGCTGCCCTGGAAGTGTTTCCACACTGTCAAAGTCCTTTGGGAATTAAGCATTTATGAAGTGTTCTCCCAGCAGGGCTGACTTGCTGGCTCCCCACTGAGGCCAGTACACCTTGGAAAGAGTCTGACAGCACCAAAGTATTTCCAACAGAGTTCCAGGGCATCTGTTCCTCAGCTTTCTCTGCTGCATGACCTGACTGTACTTCCCAAACGTGTCTGAGTCCTGATACCTAAACAAGGGATCATCACAAGGAATGTGTACATTGTTCCTACTGCATTTTCCTTTTGAATCCTCCCTGGGCCTATTTTTGGAAGTGTCCCAAATCTGATATCTGCCTTTATTCCTGAAATAACTTCTCTGCATACATTTACTTCTTCTGCCATAACTGTAAAAGGAAAATGTCACTACCTACATCCTGTCAAAAAAAAACCTGTGAGCATAAAGTCCTTGCAAATATTGGGAAGAGATAGAACTTGAGGGTCTGTGCCAGGAAAGAGAAGGACTGGGGAACAATTCCTGTTCTATGCCTGAATTCCAGAGTGTGGGTTATTGCCACTCTTGGTCCCACTGCTCCTTTGCTGCACCAACAGGATCAGAGCCACCAGGTACAAAAGAAAAGCTTCCCAACAGGTAATTCCCTCGGGAACTTGAGCTGTATCCCTCGTGTCCCCTCCATGTGTGCAGGCTGGTTCCTCTCTTGTCACATGGGGACAAAAACCCCCTGCAAATAAAGCTTTCATTTTTAAGTGGAGATGTTTTCCCCCTTGTTCCAGGGGCACCTATTTCCCTGCTCCTTCCTTGTTGTAACTCCCCTGCCTGTCCTGGATGCTGCAGGTGATGTCATGTTTACCAGAGATATGTTCGTGGCTGCTTTGAGCTCCTCAGATGAATTGCTCAGCTTATGCAAACAGGGCTGGTGTTTACTCTGTGCTGTGCCACTGTCACAGCAACCAGAGCCAGAAATGAATTGAAGTGGGGCTCATAAATAGAAATAGGTTTGACTTGGAAACTTGAGATAAAATCTCAGTCCAAATTGCCCCACGCTGCAGGACGAGCCCACAACATGCAGGGTTTGTTTTTGCTTTAAAATCCTGAAGGATCTTTAACACAGGAGGAGCAGAGATGTGGGATTGTTTGCATGACAGGATGGGGCTTGTGTTTATGTGGGTGTGAGTGAAATAAAATATTAAACCTTACAGCAGATTTTCTATCAGACTGCTGCTCTGTTTTTATAAACAGCCTGACTGCACATTTCACTTACCACTTCCAGTGGTGCTGTGGGAGGCTTTTCTTCACCCCCTCCTTTTCAGAATCGAGGCACTGGATGAAAAATCTCATTTTTATTTTGATAATGGGCATTTCC